GATACATTTATGAAGACTCTTCATTTTTTAAATTTCTTTAAATCTAATACAAGGCTCTAATATTTGGTGGCAACAAGTCGAAAATGAACCGACCTTTATAGTGAATCAAACTGAAATTAATAAACGTTCTGGGTTAACGCCCTTTGGGCTAAAAATGTAATGGAATGAGAAAAGCCGTCACAAAATTTAGGATGTATGAAATTTCAGCTTTACAACTGTTAGAACGTATATAAGAATCATGATCCTATTTAAATACATAACGTGTTTTAAAAGGAGACTAGAAAATTTAATAAAAATGTGAAAGTTAGTATTACTCAAAGTATATTTTCAAGTGTTAAAAATATCATATTTGATTAAAAAGTATTTAGTAAAATTAACATTAATATTTTGTATATATTTACAAATTCTCAGCGGAACAGGTATCTAATATAATGTTTTCAGTTTTGAGCCTAATCTTTAAAGTAAATTAATTACACTAAAATTAATTCATAATAGTTTCTAATCTTTCCATGTTATCGCATTCAGAAGAGAAAGTAATCGTTGAATTAGATGATGGTTCTGTGACTAGAATAGCACTCATATCAAAACATCAGAATTTAATAAGATTTTGCATAAACATCTAGGAAGCAGAAAACGAATTTTAAAGGGAAGGTAAAAGAAAAACGAATATTTTCTTTTAATCTGTTAACCATCTTTCATTTGTTTTATCAGAATATTAATATTCATGAGAATTTTCATCATATTTAGAATTTATTAGCTATTCTTGAGATTTTCATTTGGTTACTTTCTTCTTGGTAAAATGAATGCTTCCAGAAGCGATATCCCCGAAATATAAGTAACAGCTTTTTTCCATAGTAATATCTGTTTTAATAATTGTCCATTTATTTAGCATGCTTAGAAAATAATATAGATACAATCTCTTCTGTATCTGTTAGTAGATTTGATATACTCTAATTCGCAAAGAAAATGCAACAGCATGATATGTCTGACGGAACATTATTTAAATTTAAAGAAGTAATTAAATGAACAAATTAGGAAAAGTTTTGCAGTTTTATGCCAATCACATCATTTAAGAGTAAGACAAAAGAAGGAAACTTATTAGCTAAAGCTAACTTTTAAGGCCTTTTGAAGGATATGAGCATAAATTTTTATTTGATGTTTTGCTTCGCATTGTAGCAGGAACCCAACACGACGTATTAATTGGATCTAAATGATGATTCTTCGAATTAAGACGAAAGGTTAAAATAAATTTCACAATTCCACAGATATGTCGATCTCGGAATTATCTGTGGAATTTCATGTCGTCTTGAAATGACAGTCCCATATACCGTAAATGACAACACTTCGAAAAAATGTACGAACAATAAAAGTTCATAAGGGAGCTCGATGCTCCTGTATCAATGTAAATAATTCCTTGTCGATTTGCTAAGGCAGATGTGCAGCCAAATCGGCCTTGGTAAAGGCTGCAACTAATGCCCGACCATCGTCTAGAGCAAAGGTGGACAACATTTTTGTATATAAGATCTACTTTTTGTCTTAAAAGTGTGTAGCGATCAACTTGTTGTCTTTGGTGTAGTATAAGGAGGGAGAAGGGTATTAAATACATACAAAGTTTATACACTGTGTTTCAGTAAAAATTGCATTTCAACGAGGTATGGGTAGATAAGTAAAATATATGTTCAAAACTATTTTTTTATTTTTTAAATCACTTATTAAGTTTTCGAGATATAGGCTCCTGAATAAAATAAATTTCCAGACCCAAATTTTAATAGCAACATTCCGTACATGCGGCACCTAAAAAAATCGATTTTCCTACACTTTTCAAGATAGATATTTACTAACTTAAAATGCAATTTAATAACCTAGCAACAGCTCGCTGGGCATACCTCGTAATAAAACATAGATATAAGGTTTATCTATCTACGTAAAAAGCAACAACAGTAATTATTTAAAGATCCCAAAAACTCCTGTCAAAGGAAAAAACGCACATGGATAATTATTAACAATATTTTTTAATTCAAAGTAGCTACAGATAAAGACAGATTTAGAATTTACTTCGTTGCCTTAACAACAATGGTAAGACTGAGTTTGCATGTTCCTAACCAACGAATCATAATTAAGTGTATATCCTATCCTGACAAAGATAATAATAGAGTCTTCAGTATGGGAATCGGTCAGGACAGAACGATGTTTAGCCTTCGTTAGTTTCAAGTATGAAAATACTGATTTGTATAGATATGTAGATTCGTAACAAGAATAGATACATTCGCTACATTTGGTGATACTAGTATAATCACTGATAATAAATAATATTCATTAATAATAATACTATTAATACAAAAGAAAAGAAGCTACCGTATAACACTACCAAAACTGTGCATTGACTGACCAAAACTGTGCATTCAAGCAAACTGTGTTCTTCGATGAGTCGAGCCTTAACGGTTGCATTCGCGTATTGCGTCCTGTGACAAGTTTAAAACCTAAGTCAAAATGTATTGTCCTGGATGGGCGGAGATCACAGTGTCAGAATTCTAGGAATTTATGACCTCGGCAAATTCCCAGAATGCATTATTACAATTGCTAAAAGTTTTTTATCTTCTGCAATCGCTTGAAAGTCCATTGTCTACGGAATTCCACTCCCGTCATTGCGAGCAATCGACGATCGACCAAAATTAGTCTAGCGATCGACCGGTCGATCACGATCGACTTGTTGACCACCCCTGGTCTAAAGTGATCATAGCGTCGTCGCAACAGCGTTATTTGATGTTGTTGAATGATTCAAGCATGGTATTCAGTATTCATCTCGATTCTCTCTCAACAATTATGATCTCTGAATGATATCCTGGAGACGAAAGGGGCCCACGGGTGAATAATTTTGCATCTACTGAAAACAAACACCCTATTTCCTAATAAGAATTTATAGATTGAGATGCCATCATCAGCATCATATGGTCTACCCTCCAGTTGCATATCTGTTACATTCCCATGCAACCAGCCTGTCTTCTTGGATTTGCACCTGAGACTAATTCAGATAGAAGGTGAACATTAGCAGACGCCTTATGAGGAGACTGTGTGCAATAATAAATATTTTGTTCCGTTAAGAAATAAGGGGACAAAGGTACTGATTGCATGTGTAATTTCTGTTTCTTTCCTCTACGTACGTTATACGGTAACGTTATTTTCTACATTTGTTTGCTGAATTTGTATTACAATCACCCATATTATGAAACATTTATCATTTGATTCTTTGCATTGCTTATAGGGTTTTATGTAAAACTCTATTTGCAGCTATACTTATAATGCTATACATTAATTTTATTTAGGTTATAAATCCGTACTATTTACTATACTGTTTTGTTCTTAACAACTAGATATCCGTATTATGCTCTTGTACCAGTAATTAGTATCCAATTTATTATTCATTCTTTGTCAATTTTATAGTATTCTTAATAGCTGATCCCTCATATTTTGTATTAAATTACTTATAATTTTTGCAATATATAATTAATATGTAATCCAGACGGAACAATTCATCTGTAATTAATCTTTGTTGAACTCGACTGTAATAATTTTTGTAAGTTTTAGTACAGTAATTAGCACAAGATGAATAGTGTCAGTATACGGTTACAAGAAAGTAACGCTTACGAAAAACAATGAAATGAAATTAATTATTAGATTTAGAAAAAGCACACCCAAGGCATGAAAGATTGATGAAATTTCAACATCAAAGAGCAAATCATATATTTTCATTTAAAGTTCTCAATGTAGGAGAAATTATCCGGAGTCACCGTGTTATTTATACCTTCTCTAAAAGTTTTACCTCAGCAATAGTAAAATTCTAAAAAGATAAGTGCCCTTTCTCTCATGATACGATGACATCTAATATCATCTCCAACTTATTCGTACAGCTACAAGACGTCAGACAAAGCAGCAGTGAGAGATTAAATGAGGTTATGTTGTTTTTGTCGTTTTACTAACTTTTCAGAATCCATAAATTTCAAATGTATAATCCTTTGAACATGAATAAATAGTTTTGGGTTAATTATTCTACACTCGTTTACCGTGTAAGTGTCTTTTACATATGGCGGTTTTTGTAGCTTTTCGAATTGTTTGGCTTCATTCTCGCCAAATTATTAAGAATTCTGTATTTTTATTTATTTCTTACAAGTTATTAGGACTGATAGTGTAAGCTATTCCTTAGCATAAATGCGTAACTTTTAATCTTTATTACGCAAGGTGCAGGGCCTCGTGCCCAGGCACCCTGGTGCCCAAGCACTATTTTCACTAAGCCAAATAACTTTGGATGGTGGATGAATATTCATGTGTATAAGATCCGTTAATAAATTTAACTTCAAATCAAAATCTGGTACAGAAGAAAATGAATTCCCGAAGATGGTAATCTCTTATTAGAATTAGTAACTGCAATAAGAGGTTCGTATTTCCTGTTTCGGAGTAAAGAGAATCAAAGAATCTTATTCGAAAATTCACGTATTCAATTATGAACTATGTCACCTAAGCAACGAATTTTTTTAAACCGAAATTTTCGTTCGCAGTTGTAGAACTCTTTTCTCGTACTAAATAACTAAATCATTGCTTGCTTTCTTTACATAAGCTTTATTTAATTATTGGAAAATTGCTCAATAATAGTTTAAGAATCAATAAGAATATTTACATAGTATGCAACCTGGAGATAATAATAAAATGACGAATTTTTTCCCGAGTGGGCTCTAAATTCAATTTTTAGCCAATTATGTTTCTCATAGCACTTAAAAAAGAACACACTAAAAAAAAACTATCTTTTTATTCAGAAAACAAAGAAAAGAAAATTCTTCTTCATCTGTTAATTACTATAAAACATTGTTAAATCGTTAGATTCTATGGGGCACTTGAACATGGTTCGCAGGTGACTGAATTTGCTCGAAAACTGGCTCAACGTCCCAAAAACATACCAAATCCAATAGAAAACGAAGAAAGAACATAAAAAACAGATGTTTGCCTACTTCGAACCAGGATGCGGAACGATCGAGAAATCGGTGTGCCTTGACTGGAAGTAACCTCGCAGCTGTACCGGCCATCATCAACCTTTGGCTGCACAGATTCGATCACCAGAGAACCATTGGGGAATACTCGCTGGCGTTGATTCAGGGGCAGCAAGCGACCTTCTGTAATGAGAAAAAGAGCCCAATTATACCGTGATAAGCAGTTATACCGTGACAACTAAAGAAATTATAGGGTTTCTGCTATGCAATAAACATTCAAATTGCCTTTTATTGTTATTTGACCAAAATAAGTATATGACAAAAATAATTTTGTACAGTATAAAATAAGCAAAGGTAGTTCAATGCAAAATTTAGCACAAATAAAATATGAAAATTCGGCAGTGATACATTCCATTTTTATTTGTTAAGTTGAAATGCATTTTGTATAATTAGAAAAAGAAGCTATTTCGTATAAAATATTCAATAATTTCATGCTTAAAAAGTCGATGAACAGTTAAAACAGCATATCCCGGTATATAACCACAGTCAGGTAAGTCAAACTGGCAGCATGCGGACAAGGAACTAATTTTATGCTGTTCGTGATGACATTTCAATTGTGCAGTTGAAAGATTAAAAAAATGTTAGTTTCCTTAAGTTCGACTTTACTTTATTTCTCTTTCTATTAAAAACGAACATAAATAAAGCACCATCAAATCTATAAATAGAACTAATTAATTTAGAGTGTGATATAAATCTTATTTAAAGAAATGGAGATATGGTTTTTATTAACTTTCGTTCGTACTTGTCAAATATTAGAAAAATCAAATAAGATCCGTTACGAATTTTTGCACTAAGAATAATCACTTTACTTATGAACACATTTATATGTAAACAGTTTTTCCAGTACTGAAAATTAATTAAAAAAGAGCTCGATTAACCGATTAACATTTGCAATCTGTGAAGAAGATGAATTCTAGTAACTTCCCTTTGAAACTATGACTTATCAGAATAGATATGCCATCTAGTATCAAGCTCTCGTAAGCAATAAAAATATTTATGTACAAATATATATATTTTTATTAAAGCGTCTAAGAAAAATTTGAGAAATAAGAGAAAGAGACTAGGTTGGTATTATTTAATCTGAAGTTTTGTCTGATGTGGTAAATTTTGTCTGAAAACTAAAGAGAGTTTACATAATTTATTTAAATTAACGTTACCTGTTATTTGAAAGAAATGTCATTGTAAAAATTTAATATTTAGCTGTTAAGTTACTAAAATTACGAAGCGTAATCGAGAAAAATGCCTTAGACAACTTTAAATTCCAGGTAAAATGTAAATTTGAGTTTTTTCCTCTGGTATATCATTACTCTATTGTTTATGCTGGAAAATAGGAAATGCTTGAAAAATAGGAATGCTTAAAAAATTTATGCTTGAAAAATAGGAAAAATTTAAAATTCATTTAAAATGTTTTTTCTGTTGTTAATAAATTGTTTCAATTTGCCAGAAGTAAGTGGAAAATTGACCCGTTTTTCAGTTTGTTCCTGCGACCCGCCTGCAGTTTAAGTTTGAGACCACTGAGCTAAGTGACCAAATTATTTCTGTAAGTGATAAAATTATCATCTACATGACCTAAGTCAGCTAACTCGAATTGTTCCACTAAGTGACCGAAATATTCACCTAAATGACCAAATTATCCACCTAAATAACCAAACTATTGTGCATTTTCTTACACAAAATTTGGTCTTATTTCGTTTATGCCATTTAGAAGCAGATAAATCTCAGTATGACAAATTTATTGTATTATATGATCTTCATATAAAATTCAGAACGTAAGTTCGATTTTTAACGATATGAATGATCATAGTTGACATAAATTTTTTCTCTGCTTATTGCGAATGGATATTTTTGAGTTCGAAAATAGAAATAGTAAATTAAGCAAAGGTGAAAATAGAAGGAAAAAATTTGAAATGCTTCAGATTTTAAATTATGTCCAAAGGGACGTTTTTATAACGTTTTCTGTGTTACCTTTATTTATTAAATATCATGTTCTTTGCACTTTAACCATAAAATTCAGTTAAATAGCAACGTTGCAAAATAATTTTAAAACGAGCATATCTTTAGAATTTCCGATACACAGTTCAGCGCGCTGGAGATAAAAGGTTTTTTCCCCGTAGAGTGTTACCATTGCTCGCTTTTAAATCGTTGAGTTTGTTACTTAAAAATTCGTGAAAGGTTTACGAAATATGAATCGATAATAAAACAAATTCCAAATTTCAAATTTGGTCTTCCACATGCCCATATTCGTAGGAGGTTTACGTCATTCAAAATTCGATGGCTCTATGTACCTTTGTTTTGTCACAATATGAGAAATATACATACATTTATGCAAATTTTTCATTATTTAATTTCTTCAAATATAATGCAGAACTTTAACATTCGGTGGCAACAGTTTGAAAAGTGTTTCGCCGTTTATAGTGATTCAACGCAAAATCGCAAAATGAAAACAATAGTCCTTCAGGGACAAAGCCCCTTTGGAGTAAAAAATTGTTGTTGAATCAAAGTCGTAATGTTGAATACTTAATGCATTAATTGTTACTGAATAAAATACTAACGCCTATTAAATGCCTAACAAATATTCTTTTCAAATTTGAAGGCTATAAATTATCCTATATCATTAACTTTTAGGTTCCCAATTATGAAAACTTAACTCGAAGTATTTCAGACTATGCTTATTACATTAACAAAAGCATTGCAGCCCGTCTGAAAAATTATGAGGAAATCCTGCAAAAATTTAAATAACATTTTCATTAACTCTTTAAATGATTAAATGAACAGAAAGCACAGCATGTGTGTGCAAATAATTTCCGCCACATGCGCGCACTTAAAATAGCAAAATTGAAATTTAAGATTTAATGTAACGTAAGGCATATTACACAAATGGGCCTACTTAAGCTCGCTCACTACTTTAAATGGTGCACATTACCGTCAGCTAGCAAAATGGATGAAGCCGGAATATTTACTGGCAGAGCTGGACGATCGAACGTAAACCCGTAAACCAGCAATCATCCTTGCCAAGATCTCCATTCAAAACTCTCGTTTTAAATATTTTTCTAACTCTCATCCTAGTGAGGCCTAGGGAAAGGAGAAATAATAGTAAAGTTATAAGATTATAAGTCGTAATAACTGTTCAATTAACATAAAATATTCTGCGAAATGCCAGCGGAGATTCGAGTCTTCTATTAAATATTACTTTTATTTCAAATCACGTTTTGGATCTTGAAATGAGCTGCAAAGGCTCAGGGGAAATCCTTCACTGCGTATTATTTCTGATACATATGTATTAATGTAGTGAATCACATGCATCATCAATCGAATTTACAACGTGCGTTGCATATTTCATTTATTTAAATTTACTTTCGAAGATGTCCTGTCAGTTTTCAAACGGATTCTAATCTCAATGTAATATTTCTGAGAATTAGGGTTAAAATGGATTCAATTAAGTAAAATCGAGGAAAGCAATATTCATAATAATTTTATAGAAGTTTTGTACGAGAGCCTCACGGGATATGGAAATGTTGTAATATTTTTTTTCTGTCATTAATCCCTTGCAGTCTACCAACGGCTGAACGGGAAAATTGCTGAAATCTGGTAGTTCTGTTCGAGGCTGAAGTCCCGCGAACAGGTTGGCTACATGGACATTTTCGTGCATTTCCTCATGTGTAAAGTGTATACGAGCCAGTTTCCATTATAAAATCCTTCACGAAAACATCCCTACCCTAAGGCAGATAGCCCTCGAGGATTTGCCGTGATCCCGTAAACAAACAAGCAAATTAATCCCTTGACATCATCAGCGTCAAGAAAGTTGTGAAAACAAATTTGGTATTTCAAATATTTTTTTTCATCCATTATAGAGATGTAGGAATTTTTTATCTGTAAAGCACTTAAATCCCTCAAGTAGAAATATTTTCTGACTGGAAACTATTTGTTATGATATACCATGTTGCATTTAGAAGCTCTGCGAGTTTTCCAAGTCCTCGAATTAAACATCTTCTTGGTTATTTTTATCAGCATTAATTTATATGGCCTATCAGGACTTGCCATAAAACCACTGAAGGCTGTTAATTCGAGCTGGATTCAAATCTTGTCCAACGGGCTGGCTGCATTGAGCTTTCCATGGTTTTCCTTATTTTAGAGGGACTAGAGATATTTTTACTTAAAATGTCCTCGACTTCTCTTAGCAAGCAGCTCTTCCGTGCTTTGTCGTAATCTAAACTAGAGATTGCCAACGGGGGCAGCACTGACCGGCTGGGGGGTAGGTGAAATTTAAAGAAAGCTTAATAATTATTAAGGGGTCGATTGGGGGTTGATATCCCAATATGCATGTGTAATTAATCAAAATATTGAAGATCTCATCGATAAAAAACTATGATATAAAGCAACATCCTGTAGTAAAGCAGACGTCATATAAAATAAATATAAAGGAAATGTATGCAAAAATCATTTAGAACGAGTATTTTAATTTAACATAATATGTACTATAACAAAAAATAAGTAAACGTGAGGAAATTAATAGATTCCTCCTTATTTACATGTCAAGTTATGTAAAAATATGCGTTAAAATGCAGGGAGTATTTTGACTAGAAAAATATGCATTATGATTATGTTTCTCTTAAAGAAGTTTTAATTTTTAACTTTTTAATAAAATACTTTTAAATGTTCTTCTCTTCTTTCATTAGCTCAAAAATTTTACTTCCTATCCAAAAGTCAAATTACTGGCTTTAAATACTAGATAATAGCATGCGGTATTAATAAAGGCAGCTGTGAATTATCCTGAGCTGCTGGTTTGCTATCCGCTGTCATGAACAATTATGGTTAAAAGGGCTCAAATATTTTTTATCAAACACATATGTTTTGTAACATTGTTCTTCTGATCAGTTTATTTGCTCTGGAGATAAAAACTGGAGAGTTTCCTTGCGGGTATATTCATTGATTTTCCAGCAGAAAAGTTTTTCACTTCAAAATACGGAAAAATATCCTTTAGTATTTACAGATAATTTTCATTCTTTACGTTTTCTGATAAAAACTTAAATTCACAATCATTTTTTGCAGATTTTAGTTATCCAGTTTATTACTCATCCTCCATCTTGCTACACACTGAATAAAATATGCTCTTCTTTTTTAAT